GCTTCTTTTTCATACTGGCTTCTTAGCTTTTTGGTTTTCCTTTTTTTAGTATGTAATCATTAAGATTAATTCAGAGGGACTTGGAGAGATGACCCAACAGTTAAGAGTACTTGTTGCTCTTACCAATCTGGGTTCAATTCCCAGCTCCCACATGGTGGCTCTGTGATTCCTGGGCCCCCTGTGTGCATGGTACACATCCATACACAAATCTTTTTTTTTTAAAAAAAGTTTTTGAAAGATTAGGAGGGCAAGGGGAATAAGCGAGAAATGTGGAGATGAGATGAATAGAATATAACCAATGAAAGACCTTTACAACTAGAAACCTGAGGGCCCCCAATGTTCACTAACATCTGTAATGTTAAAAGGGGGGAGTGATCTCTTATCAGGAGGGAAGAGGGGCTATCAGTGTAGATCCCAAGAACATAGATATTTTAAAAAATACTGTAGATCATTCTATGCCCACAAACGATAAATGAGATGACTGGCAAGTTTCTCAAAAGACCCTGTTCTAGTCTTCCTATTGTGATAAACACCATGACCAAAAGCAACTTGGGGAGGAAAGGATTTATTTGGCTTGTAAGTCCCAGGTCACAGTTCATCAGTGATTGAGGGAAGTAAGTGCAAGACCTGAAACAGAAACAATGGAGATGCTGCTTACTGCCTTGTTCCCTTTTCTTATACAGCCCAGGATCATGTGCCCAAGGGTGGCACTGCCCACAATTGGATAGGTGCTGGGCTCACCTACATCATTAAGAAAATGTCACACAAACTTTCCTACTGCCCAATCTGATGGAAGCACTTTCTCAACTGAGATTCCCTCTCCCCAGATGATACAAGTGTTTGTCACATTGATGAAAAATTAGCCACAGGAACAGGCTTCTAAAATTCACAGAGGGTTTTATACATTAAAGAGAATGTATAATCACCGGGGGGTGGGGGAAAGCCCCTGGTAGGTAAACACTTAAGAAATTAGACAAATTCTCAGCTGGGCGGTGGTGGCGCACGCCTTTAATCCCAGCACTCGGGAGGCAGAGCCAGGCGGATCTCTGTGAGTTCGAGGCCAGCCTGGGCTACCAAGTGAGTTCCAGGAAAGGTGCAAAGCTACACAGAGAAACCCTGTCTCGAAAAACCAAAAAAAAAAAAAAGAAAAAAGAAAAAAAAATTAGACAAATTCTCTGCAATCTCATGTAGAATGCAGTGGCAGAGGGAATGCTTGCCTTTTTTTTTTTAATTTCTAAATTTTATGTGTATGAGTATTTGGCCTGCACATATATATATGTACCCTGTGCCTGCCTGGTTCCTGCAAAGGTCAGAGGAGGGCATCAGGTCTTCTGGAGCTAGAATTACAGGTGGTTGTGAGCCACTATATGGGTGCTGGGAACTGAATTTGGATTCTGTGCAAGAGCAGCAAGTGTTCTTAACCACTGTGCTGTCTCTCCAGCCCTGAGAGAATGCTTTCTAATGTATTCTATCAAATACATTATGAGATAATAGACCAGTGCTTCTCATAAATGTCAATGCAAATAGTCCTTAACAAAAACTTGGCAAGTAGAACCTAAAGATGTATTTTAAAAACTATACACCATAATCAGGCAGTATTTATTTTTGGTCTACAGGGCTAGTTGTACATCTGGTCTCACATCAGTCCTACTGATAGATCCAGGAAAAATACAACAAAATCCAACACCCATTCATAATAAAAATGAAACAAACTAGGAATATACAAAAATTTTATAGATTAAAAGAAAAGGAAAAATATACCCCAAACCTACCTAGTATATTAAGAGGTGAGAAAATTGATACTTTCCCTCTGAGATAGAACGAGACAAAAATGTTTCCTCCTTTACATCCTGTTGATCCACTAATGAAATAGGAAAAGCTACTCAGATTGGGGAGAGAAAACCTGTATTCATTTGCAAATGGCATGTCTGCTCCATAGAAAACCTAAAAGAATTAGCATAACTCTGATAACTAGAAGCAACTATGTGGATTGCAATATATAAACAAGTCAGTGTTTATACCAACAAGAACGTTTTGAATAAGAAAGTAACAGTTTGAATTACCTTCAAAAAATTACTTAGTTGTAAGCCTAGTAAAGTAAGTATAACATTTATGTCAGGAAAAACTAAAACTAATGAGAAAGCAAAGATAGATGGAACAGGAGAGCTGGTCCATAGTCATTGATGGGGAGACTCAATCTGTTCTTCTCTGGTATTTACTCTGGTAAATTCAGTGCAATTCCAATAATCTCAGCAAATTATATTTTGGACATCAACATGATTAAAAAGGTCCAGAAGAGTCACTTATTTTTTTTTTAAACTACAAGGTGCAAGTTGATACAGACTCCAAAATTTAACTACATTGCTCCCATAATGAAAACTGATACTGGCAGAATAATGTATGTGCAACAGAACAGTTCAGAAATAAACCAACATAAATACAGTTAACCGATCTCACAGAGATGAGAAAGACCCTTTGATGAGCCCTCTTAACCAGCAGTGGGAGATGACGGAGGGGAGGGGAGGAGAAAGGAGGAGAGGAGAGGTGATGCGTGAAGAGGAAAGAATAGGTAAAACGAATTGGAAGGCTTATATGTGAAAAATTATAAATATCTTCAAAGAATATACAAATAACCAGATGAAGGAAGGAAATCCATTCAGGACCCAGAGAAGAGTCAACAACACAGATGAGAAAGTATGCAAAATGGATGGGAAATTCAGCAAGAGAATTGGGGTATGTCTGTTTGTTTGTTTGAGAGAGGACCTCACTATGTAGCCATGGCTGGCCTGGAATTCATTGTGTAGACCAAACTGGTTTCAAACTCACAGAGATCCACCTGCCTCTGCCTCTGAAGTGCTGGGGTTAAAGACAAGCTTTGGGGGGGGAAAAAAAGAAGAAAAGAAAAAGTAAAAGCATGATGCAACTTTCAAGATTTAGTCAAGAGACCAATTTAGGAATTCATGGGGTAGAAGGATCTGAAATAACTAAAAACACAGAGACTGCACTTAATGAAATTAGAGGAGAAAATGTTTTGATGCTACAGAAAGAATCCAAATGAAAGGGGCATCTAGAACCCCGAATTCGCATGACCAGAAAACCTCTTCATTATATAGTGTATGGAAGTACAAAAGAACACTAAAAGAAGTAAAAAAAAAAAAAAAAAGTGTCAAGTCTCAAGACCTCTCAATAGAAACCCTGAACATCAGGAAAGCATGGGGTGATAGATTTCATGTTCTGGAGGTAAATAACTACCAACCTATCAAAATGATCTTTTAAAACTCATGGAGAAATAAGGCCATTTTAAGCAAGCACAAATTATTGCAATTCACGATCACAAAGCAGCACTACAGAGTGTACTTGAATCCTAGACACAGAGAGAAGGATAGGCTCAGCCAGGAGAACACAGACAGGAAGAAGACATTTCATGAGAGAAACACATGAGCAAAGGAGAACTAAGGAACAATCCACGAGCCCAACACAGACTCCAAACAGGAAAGAAAAGAATGAACATTCCAACAAATCAGAAAAACCACCAACAAAATCTGTAGGAATCAACTAGCCTCCCTCAATAATAGCCTGAATTGCTGGGCATGATGATGCTATAGTCTGGGTACCAAAAAAAAAAAAATGGAAATGATAAAAACAATGACCTAAAGTAAATTATCTTTAACTCTCAATTCAAAGAGGCAGACTGTTGGTTGGATTAAAAAACAAGATCCAACTGTCTCTTGTCTCCAAGAAACATACTTGTCTGGCATCACTCAATTTATCAAGTGGATAGAAGCTCACATGGCTATTCTGATAACTGAACAAGTAGACATCAAACCAAAACTAGAAGAGACGAAGTCACTGCATATTAGCAAAAAGAATCCTCTGCAGAGATATAACAATCATAAACACTTATACACTAAAGTTTGGATGGAGCTCTCAGTTTCATAAACACCAATGGACTTAAAAAGAACAGATAGAGCCGGCCGGTGGTGGCGCACGCCTTTAATCCCAGCACTCGGGAGGCAGAGCCAGGCGGATCTCTGTGAGTTCGAGGCCAGCCTGGTCTCCAAAGCGAGTTCCAGGAAAGGCGCAAAGCTACACAGAGAAACCCTGTCTCGAAAAACCAAAAAAAAAAAAAAGAACAGATAGATTCTGATATAATAATCTTAGGTGACTTTAATCTATAATCAGTAGGTAGATCATACAGACTTAAAAATCGATAAACTTCAGGGGTCAATTTAGATGTAGCTGACTTAACAGATATCTACAGAATATTCCATCTGTATTAATTAATTTCTCATTGCTGTGACCAGATACTTGACAGGAGGTACTTAAGGGTGGAAGGCTTTATTTAGATTTACAATTTGAGGAGATGCAGCCCACCATAGCAGGGAAAGAACCTGGGAAGGCATGGCAAAGAGTGAAGGAAGAGGCTGATCACATTGCATCCACAGCCAGGAAGCAGAGAAAGATGAATGCTGGCGCCTAGATCCATTTCTCCTTTCAATTATCCAAGGCCTCTAGCCGAAGGAGTGGTGCTGCCCACGTTCAGTTAATCTTTTCGAAACACACAGACACGTGTAGGTGTGTTTCCATTGTGATTCTAAATCCAATAGTCAAATTGACAATGTTAAACATTACACCCTCCAACAGCTAGAGAGTACAAATTCTCAGCAGCTCATAGAACTTTCTTAGAGGTCATAGTTTAGGCCATAAAGCACGTCTCCGCAAATACAAAAGAATTCAAATAATCCTTTGTATTTTTATCAGATTGCGTTCCTGAAGTATTTCCACCAACACAGCCATAGTCTGAGGGGTACTCCCATAGACCTCATCTGAACTATCGTGCACGCCCAAGTTTCTAGGCAGTGATTAGGCATACTTCTATTATTTCTGGACCCAGAGTCCATAGTCTTTCCTCCCTTCCTCCCATTTTACACACACGCACATACGCGCGCGCGCGCGCACACACACACACACACAGAGCTGGGCGCACGCAGCGTGTATGCCAGGTACTATTCTAGGCAGTCAACCAACATTAACGAATTGAATTCTTCTATCTACTCAGACTTCCCACTAGCATTGTAAAACACAGGCGCGTCACACTTTTCGGATATTGACTCCAACTCCACCCTTCCAGCAACAGCTCTGCAAGGCTGTGCAGGCAGAGGAGCTGGGGACAGGGCGTCTGCAGTATCCAGTGATGCCGGAGGAGCTGGAGGCAACCCTGGACAGAAGAATGGGGTCACTGAGTGGATCCCCAATGCAAAGTGGAGGTGGAGTCCGGGAAATAACAGGGCTCCTAGGGAGGCGGGGCCGCTCCAAAGAACCGTGAGGCCTGAGAGATTATGGAAATGAAGCACCTACAGGGCGGGGCCTTGGGGGCTAGGGCGTTCTAGGTAAGAACGAATACCTGAACCCAGGTGTTGGACCGGGTAGGGGGCTGTATGGACATAGGGGCGGAACGGTCCCGGGTTCCGGGATGGAGAGGGGGCAGGACCAAGGCAAGGCGTGGACGAGGCGGAGTCCCAGGGGCGGGATGGGGCGGGGTGATTCCATGGTTCCGGTCATGTCTGGGGCGGATAAGGAGGATTGTCCTATGTGTTAGGATGGATGCAGTGGTCTCGGGTGCGGGAAGGTCGCAGGAGAGAGAAATGGGGTCGTTCCGGAGCGGGTGCCGGCCGGTTCCGGGGTGGAAGAGGGCCGAAGTGGGGGCGGGCCCGGAAAGAGGCGGGGCGGTCGAGGGGCATGGGAATGGGGTGATCCCGGGGCGGGTGCTGAGTGGGAAAGAGGGTGAGCCTGGGGTAGGGGAGGCGCGAAGGGTGTAGAGTGGTCCCGGGGCCGGTGCTAAAAGGGTGCCTGTGGTGGGGAGGCGGTCCCGAGGGGGCGGGTAGGGGTGTTGCCAGGCGGTACGGGGTACTGGCCTCGGGGGAACAGCAGTCCCAGGGTTCGGGGCGGTCTCTGCGTCTAAGAGTGCTCCGCTAGACTGATCCTCGCCCTAAGCACAGTCTTGCTAGCCAACCCCTGCCGCCGAGGGCTTTCCTGCCTAGTGCTCGTCATCATGTCTTTTATTCCGGTGGCCGAGGACTCCGACTTCCCCATCCAAAACCTGCCCTATGGCGTTTTCTCCACTCAAAGCCACGTGAGCTTCGGGCGCTTGGGCTGGGGCATGGGGAGGTGGGAACTCTGGTCTGTTCCTCCCGAGCCTCGGTGGAAGGTGCCTGTGGCTTGAATGCAGCTCATGACCCACCATAGCTGTGCACGATGTTGAAATTCAGTCCCAGTCTGTGTGGTTGTGCGAGAACAAATGCAAAGAGAAATGGGAATTATCGCCCCTCGCCTGGACAGCAGGCCCGTGAGATTATTGTGACCCAGAAACGGACGCGTAGTCCTGCAGGCGGTTTCCTTCCAAGAAGCCGGGTGGTCGTTCACTTTATTGCTAGTCCTTGACTCTACAACCTGGAAAGTCCGAGCTGACTCCCTTATTTTTGAGCAACTCCGAGGATGCAAGTACTTCCTGGCCTAGAAACTGTGCGCTCTCAGATACCAGGTTCTTTTACCTTTAGCCTAAATTCTTTCTGCTCTAGTGTGAGCTGCTAGGCATTCCCTGAACTGATCACAAGTCCTGTGGGGCAAGAGAAACGAACTTTGACTTGTACGCATAGTCTGATTAGAAAGAAATCTTTAAAAACGGTTTTAGTGGAGCTGAGTTATCAGCGAATACATAAAGGGCTCCTTGGGTGGGAAAAGCACATCCTTCCAACATGTTTGTGGTATTTTCTGCTTGCTTTTTGCTTACACTGTTGATTCAGCTTTGTAAGCCATAGAGCCATGGAAACTGCTTGGACGTAACAGGAGTCAGAATATCTTCGCCAGGATTGGCAGGTAGCATAGGTAGAGTGCTTGGCTAGCAAGCACCAGCAGAAGGAAGGAAAGGGTTCCTGGCAGTTGGTCCCTTTCTCTACATCTGTTGCCCAGATGGCTGCCCTTTTGTCTCCTGCGTGTGCCGAATGCTTTGGTCAGAAGAGTCAACTGGTGGTTTCACAACCACCAAGCATGACTAGATGTTGCAAGGACACAAAGTTAATGTGTCGTCCTTTCCACATAGGAGGTGTGTGGAGCCTTAACCTGTGCCAGCCAACCACCTTCTGGAAGCAGAATACTCCCTCTGGCCTCCTCTGGTACTTTGCCCTCAGCGGAGGAGCTCTCTCTCAGCCTTTTCTGGGAGCACCAATGGGTTAGGCAGATGCATCGCATTTGTGCAGGCAAGTACATCGTCAGGACTTGCCTAGGTAGTAAGGGATCTGACTTGCGCTCCCAGAGGAATCTGGAGCTATTGTTCTTTTATGTGTGGCTAGGGGCTTTTTAGACATCATACTCTGCAGTTTCTTTGTTGTTGTTATTATCATCAATATTATTTTGATTTCTTGAGACAGGATTTCCCTGTGTAGCCCTCCCTGCCTGTTCTGAAACTAGATCTGCAAACCAGGCTAGCCTCAAACTCAGAGATCTGCCTGCCTCTGCTTACTGAGTGTGGGTTCAAAGGAGTGTGCCACCATGCCCAGCTTTTTTTTTATTAGTGATAAAAATTTAATTTTTAATTTTAAAATTAATTTTTTTGAGAATTTCATATGTAAGTACTGCATCTAAATCATTCCTGCTCCTCCCACTCTTCCTTCCAACTTCTTCCTTCCCCCTCCCAAATGCATGATCTCTTCTTTATTATTGTTACATGTATATTCATATGTATATCACTGAATACATTTAGCTTTGTTCATATGTACATGTATCCAGGAGTTTGTCCCTAGGGGCAACTATGGACCTCCTGTAGCTCTTCATCTAGGGGTGGGGCCATGTGGAATTTCCCATCAGTACTGGCAGGCCAACTAGTGTCATTGTGCTGGTGGTGTTCAGGCAGCTACATTGTTGAGAGTTCCTAGGTGCATTTCCCTGGTCATGTCTAGGGAAATGATCTATCAACAGGTATCCTGAGCCACTGGCTCTTACTGTCTCTCTGCTCCCTCTTGGGTGATTTTTTTCCTGAGCCGTAGGAGTAGGGATTGCATTGCAGATGTATCACGAAGTTGGGCACCCATGATGAACTGTTCTCTGCGTTTTGACCCCTTGTGGATCTCTAATGGTTTCTATCTATTGCAAAAAGAAGCTTCTTTGATGAGGGGTGAGAGTTACACTTATCTGTGGGTATAAGGATACATATTTAGAACACTGAGATTTTTATATTGGTTTCAGAAAATGGCAGTAAGTAGGTTCTCCTCTTGGGTCTGTGACCTCTCCAGCCATGGGCAGTTGGCTAGGTTTACAGTAACAGGCATGGATTCCCTCCTATTGAGCAGGCCTTAAGTCTAATTAGACAGCTGTTGGTTACCCTCAGGATCTAAGTGCCGTTATTACTGCTTTGTGAATATCTTGCTATTCCAGTGATTGTTGTGGTTCATAGGCCTTAGATCTGGGTAGGACTACCGATTACTCCTCTCCCTTGACAGCTGTTATAATACCAAAGTGACTTAGTATAATTTATAGGCTTTGTTCACATATGACTAGGCAGGTAATGCCTATGACTAGATCACAGAGGTGACTCAGTGATAGAGGTTCCTTCTTGCCTTCAGCAAGGCATAGGATGATCTCCCCAGGTTGTACATCACCTGAGTGGACTGTCACTTGGACCCATGTAACTCAGGTTTGTGTTCTTTGAAGCACAGTGGGGAGACCAAGGCCCATGGAGTTACAGAGCTGAAAATATGTGAGTTCTCCAGTGAAGCTTCTCAGGGTTGTGTGGCCTTGGTCTATCCCTAACCCCTAGGGGCTGCTTTGCAGCCCCTGAAAAAAGCAGGCACTGGAGAAAGGGCCAGCCAAGAGTTCCACCTCTCGGCTCCCATGAATTTCCTAGAATGGCAGAACTGCTGGTTCAGGTGCCAAGGAAGCCTGGCTTAGGACAGAGTTCCAGGAGGTGAAGTCTTCCAACATGCTTAGTGGTGTGGGGCCAGAGACCAGCCCTGATAAAATATTTGGGCCACTGTATTCATCTGAACTCCTGCAGAGCTTTTACAGGGGCATAAAAGAAATTCATTCACGTGGTCAGAGCACTGTGGCTTCTGCAGCCCCCTACAGCCTGAGTTCTGCTGCATTCGAGCTACCACAGAGCTGTCACTCCAAGTTACTACATGTGGAGCACTCACTGCTCTGCTTCACAGAATGGCCCTGAGCAAAGGCCTAGGCCCAATATAAAGAGGAATTCAGGTTCTTGGTAAGGTGGTGAGCAGCTCATCACTAGAGGCATGTAAGCAATGCTAGGAACTTTGCCTCCACAGGCTCCCTGTTCTTCCTCTATTTTATGGAGGGTATTTCATTAATTTTCCATCAAGAGATCACAGCTTTGTTTTCTTTCTTGTCCTGGGTCCTGGTCGTCGGTCCTCTCTTTATGAGGGTTGTTCCAAAGGAACCCATTGGTCCCTACGTATTGGGTGGCTGTTGCAGTGAATGAGCTGGGCCTGTCAGAACTAACAGTGTCATTCTCCTCCTAGCCAAAACCACGAATTGGTGTGGCCATTGGTGACCAAATCTTGGACCTCAGTGTCATTAAACACCTCTTCACTGGGCCTGTCCTCTCCAAACACCAGCATGTCTTCGATGAGGTAGGATATTGTGTCATGGATTGTCTCCATTTCATCACCTACTGCAAATGAGACAGTGTTTTTGTTGTCACAGGTTATCCCTGGATAAGTGGGAGCTGTTCTGAGACATATAGGTAACAGGAGGTATCCTTGACATCTTAGGGTGGTTTCTCAGCAGAATGTGAGCTCCTGAGTTCAGAGGGTCTTTCCAAGTTGCCTCTGAGATGAGGATATTCTATACTCTGGTTCCTTTTTATACTGGGCTATTCATGCTTTGGTCTTTCAAGGCCCAAGAAAATGGTGAGAAAAGGAGCCATGAGCCTTACAGTCCAGATTTGGGAAACAGCTTGAGAGAGTCATCCTGGCCTCCATGTTCGTGGGGGATGGCTGCCCAGTCCTTCAAGGGTACAGTCCTGGAGCATCCAGGCTTGCTGGTGTCTATGTCAGATGGCTGCACTGTCATCTAGGTGTGCAGAAGTACCTGGGGGCAGTCAGCTCGGCTTCCATGCCTGTGTGGGATGGGTGCAACTTTCCTCCCTTGTCACGCACAGGCCAGCTCTTCGGATCTGCTTTTTCCTGACACACAGGCAGGGGTGCTTGTGGTATCTCCTGAGTACCTGTTTTGTACAGGAACTTTACATACATCCTCTCTGTCAGTCCTCCTAGCCACCCTCCGGCACAGATTCAATATTGTCTCTAGATGAGTGGGACTTGTGCAGTTTGTGGGTTGCTGCCCACATAATAGTTATGGAGCATTGATTGTGAGGTGCATATCCAGGAGTAGACAGGACATCAAGGAGGTAACCAGCTTTCTCTAGCTCTATGCAGAGAGGACAAAAATGTAAACGAAGGCCCCCACTTGTGAATGCGTGGAGAGAAGCCAGACTCTGACAGGAGGACTGGCTCGAGGATTTTTCTCAGGCGTAACCATCTCTGATCGTGTTTTGGTCTTAGACAACTCTCAACAGCTTTATGGGCCTGGGCCAAGCTGCCTGGAAGGAGGCAAGAACAACCTTGCAGAACTTGCTGTCTGCCAGCCAAGCCAGGCTGAGAGATGACAAGGAGCTTCGGCAACGGTGAGGAACACCTGAGGAGAGAGGGACGTGTCAGGGGAGATAAGGACAGGGGAGTTGGCAGTGCCCTCATGCACTGCTGCTTGGCTGACTGGCCTGGTACAGTCAGGCCAACTTCACCCATTGCTGTTCTGGGTTGCATGTTGGTGGGAGGGCTCTGGGCCTGGAAGACTGGATGGAGCCGCTGATTCTGTGTTTCAGTGCATTCACCTCCCAGGCTTCTGCCAAGATGCACCTTCCTGCTACCATAGGTGAGTCCTTTTTCCCTGTTCTATCAACCTGAATAGTTTAGTGGGCCTAGATGGCTTGGCAGAGGCATTGGACCCCCATATCTTGGTGGAAAGAAAGCAGGGCGAGGGCGTTAGGATTGCCAGATGATCCCAACATGACCAAGCTCAGCACACAGTTAGCCTTGGCTCAGGTTGTCTCAAGCCTGCTCTCCTGAAGAAGTAGCAGCCTATCTAAGTTTGTGACTAGCTACATGGCTCCCTGTACAGCAATTCACTCCTTCTTCCCAGAAGGTTGTCAGGCAGGCACTCTGAGCTGTCAGGAAAGAGAGTTTTGAGGAAAGCCAGAGGGCTCCCACCTCCACCCCCACAGGGCCCATGTATGCATTTGACCAGGCATCTGATTTGATTGAATCTGCAAGTTGCTGTCAATACAGCCTGATAGCCTGAAGCTGAGGATGGGCCCATCAGCCTGTGGTCAGGCATAGGCTGTATCCTTGTATGTCAGCCATGAGAGGGAGCCTCTGCTAATGCCTGGACACCTGTGATCTGAGAACTATACAGTTCTGCCCTGGAAGGATGGGGTTTCCTGAACCAGTTTCTCCATTTGGCAAAGTCTTCCAGAGGTGCTAGTGCCCACAGCTAGGTGGAAGGCGGGCTTGAGGATGGGCTTGTCTCTTGCTTCCCTTTAGGACTGTGCTATACTTTTACAGCAAGCTAGTTGTCTTCTAAGGGTCCTTCATCCTTTCTAGTTAACTGATGCTATGGCTTCTTGTTTTTACCGTCATGGACATGATTGTTTTTGTGGTAAATACATTCACTCTTACTTCTGTGCATAGGACTGAAGGTGGGAAGTAGTGCGTACAGTTAAGCGAGGGGTTGTCCACCCCTGGAGCCCCTTGCCCAGCCGGCTCCCAGACTGTTTCCTCTCCTTATCTTTCCACCTCCACTTCCAGTCCAAGCTACTGGGATTGGGGTACTCAGCTTTGCTTTGGGGGTGGTGGCGGTATAAGGTTTAGGAAGATGAGTAAGAACACTGCCCTAAGTGGGTTTTCTAGGAGATCTTAGTAATTCATTTGCATTTGAGAGAGGGGCACCTGGAGTTCATGAACCTCCAAGTTCAGCTCATCACAATCCATAGGCACTGATATACAAGTTCAAATACAGAGACCAGATGCCTTGTTCTTGGTGCTGAGGGCCAGTCATGTGAAATAGGGGCTGAGCTGGGACTGGTCTGAAGGGTGACAGTTTCTGCACACCTGGGACTGGAGCAGAGTGAAGCCCACTCCAAAGAAGGTTTCAGTAGTGGGGCCTTAGACTTGCCAGGATTTAAGCCAGCAGAGGTGAGGAAGAAATGAGAGCAGGCATATAGTAAGCAAAAGCGTGTCAAGGCTCGCCCATGTGGGGGTCACAGCAGTGACATGTGCTACAAGTTGGGAGGGAGTAGTGGTAGCAGCCATTTCATACTTAAATCGCACTGCCTGGTTCAGAAAGTGGGGGCTTACTTTTTTTTTTTTTTTCTGAAGGGGTCCTTGAAGAAGGGTGTGAGTCCTTTCACGTGGGACTGGCCTTCCTCTGTCTAGGTCACTGGCTGTTTTGGGTCTTCCTTCTGCAGGAGACTACACGGACTTCTACTCCTCCCGGCAGCATGCCACTAATGTTGGCATCATGTTCAGGGGCAAGGAGAATGCGCTGATGCCCAACTGGTACGTCCCAGATCAGATGGTGAGATAAATTCAAAATCCTCTCTCTCTCTCTCTCTCTCTCTCTCTCTCTCTCTCTCTCTCTCTCTTTCTCTCTCTCTCTCATATCCCGCTTTGGTCAAAGCAGCCTAAGGGAAAACTAGAAGTGATGATGTTCCAGCCTCTGGAAACAGCAGACCTAGCTTCTGACTCCCTCAGCATGACTTGAGGGGTGGGGGGCTGTCAAGGGCCTGTGGGCAGTTCCCTTCAGCTCCCCTCTGGAGAACAGACATGGGGATTAGATTCTCTGTGCTGCTTGATCTCTAGATTCTTTTTTTTGCAAACTGCCTATGTTCTAACCATGAGCATTCTGAAAAAAAAAAAATCAGCAATCTGAAATACTTCCAGTCTCAAGCGTTTTAGAGGAGGGAGGCTCATCCTATATTATATTTATATTAGAGAACATGTGCATAAGGTAAACCAAAGGCAGCACTGAGGACCACCCTGAATCACGCACCACAAGAGAAGGCCTCTTGTTCCTACTCTGTGAAGGGAATGCGGGCCAAAGGCTGTGGCTCCCCAGTTTGCTTCAGATGAGGGTAAGGACGCATTCCCTCACCCAGCCTTGCCGCTCACTTCCTGATCCCTGATATTTGGCTAGACAAGTTCTGGCAGCGTGGTAAGAGGCAGCTCCTTTGGGGCTAGACAGGCTGCTGGATCATTTTCCCTGAGGTCATGAGAGCAAACAGTTTCTGATGGATAAACAGCCTGGAGCCATGCAGGGCTGCATGCAGTCTGTCATATCTACCCACCTTAAGCAGGAACCTGGAGACCGGGCCCAGCCTGCTGTGTCCTGCAAGTGTGACCCTGATCGTCCATTTTCCTGCTGCCATGGACAGTCCCTGTGGCTATGTCACTCTCACCTGCCTCTGTCTTCACATGGTTATCTCCTCTTCTCCATGTCTTCTGCCTTGTACAAAGGCACTCTGGGCTATAGGGACTCTTAGATGATCCAGGGCTAATAATTGTCATTCATACATCTTCCTGGGGGGTACAGACAGATCTTTTGGGGGAGCTGCCACTCACTGCACTGCAGGCATAACCTCTTGCTTTATTCAGAACAGCACTGGTGTTTATCATGGGCTGTCTTCTCACCCACGCGTAGTTCCGTGTGTTCATCGGAGAGCGCCCCTGGCCCCACCTTACTTGGTAGTGTTTTGATATGTGGAAGACTCCTTTATTTCCTCTCCATATTCCTGTTTTACAAGCATCTTCTGACAGTGTTCCCCAGCCTTGGATAGCTATTTGTTCTGAGCTTTATGACTTATTCCTAGGGTTCCCTTGCCCTGGAGATGGACAGGGCCCACAAAGGAAGCAGCAGAACTCTGGGGTCTTTACTTTTCCTCCTCCTTCTCCTGATCCTCCTCACTGTGTAGCTAGCCCTAGCTGGCCTAGAACCTACTATGCATACCAGGCCGGCCTGAAACTTGTGGTACCCTTCCTGTCTCTGCCTTCCGAGTGCTGGGGTTGCAGGCACACCCTGCCCCCTTCTCTTCCTGGAGCTGAATCATTTCCCGCTGTGAGACACCACATTTGGTGTCTCCATTCTCCTTTCTTAATTCATTTTGGACACTTGAGGACATGTGTTCACTTTTGAATAGTGAGTGTGTACTGACTCTGTTTCTTTCTGAAGTTGAATTTACACCATGTAACAGCCTTGGCACCCTACCCTCTCACTCTCCTTTGTCAGGCTCCACTTACCTGTGGGATACCATGGCCGGGCTTCCTCCATCGTGGTATCTGGCACCCCAATCCGAAGACCCATGGGACAGATGAGACCTGATAACTGTAAGCGAATCCGGTATCCAGGCCCTGCCAATGCCCAGCTCTGCCCTTTTGCTATGAGCTCTGTAGTCTGGTGTTGATGGTTCCTTTTATCTGTTGTCTCTCCAGCAAAGCCTCCTGTGTATGGTGCCTGCAGACTCCTGGACATGGAGTTGGAAATGGTGAGTTATGTGTGGAGTTTTATTGAGTGGGATCCACAAAGGCCTGCAGCAGGAAAGCTGGGAAGCAGTTCATACCTGTCCAGCCACAAACAGCAGCCCTGTGGACTCGTCTGACCCCTGAGTGCAGTTGGTGTTCTTCTTTCAGGTTCTGTGTTTGTGAATTCACCCACTTGCTAAGAGCTTATTTGCAACCCAAATATTAACACAAGCTGTTGCCACACAGAGAAGTGGAAAACATGAGTGTCTTGATGCACACACTGGTCCCTCGTTGAGGTCACATCAGGATCCCTGTCTTCTTGTTTCAGGTCTCATTCTAGAAACACTTGTTAGTTTTCTGGTCTGTTTTTCCCCCATGTTTTTCACATTCTTATGTGCTTTGAGCTGCTTTTGTTATTTGTCATGTCCCCCAAGTGGAGAGTGCTTGTGCTCTCCTAACTGCAATAGGGCAGATGTCCCTTACAGAGACATGTGCTAGAAAAGCCTCCTTCCTACCCAAGTTGAAGCTATTGATGGAGACTTTGGTGTTGAGCCAACGCTCTCTACTGGGTATCATTAACAAGAAGAGGTAAAATATGGTAAGATGAAATGACTTATTGTTCAGTTGGTGAATGCTGTAGCCAGAGGCTGTGAAAACCCAGCTCTTTGCTTGTGGCGGGAGTATTGTTTCACCTTGTCTGTTCACATTCACGGTAATTTTATGGAATGTCACATGAGTTAACAAGCATCCAACAGTCATACCCACCTCATTATACCTGTGGCAGGGCCTATACCATTTCATAAACATGCTTATACCAAGGCTTCCCTTTAAAAAAAAAAAACATTTATTTATAATTTAAAATACTTTTTCCCAATTTTTTTCCTCCCTCCTCTCCTCCTAGTGAGGCTCTACATTTTATTGAAATTAAATAAATTGATAAAATTAAGCATGTTATTACGAGAGTGCTGAAGACTCCCGTGCAGTTGTGAGAAATGAGGGTGAGCCCCTGCACTTGAAAATGGTGGGATCCTTCGTGCCTCGGTGCCCCCAGGGCTTTTTTCTTTTTATCTTCATGAAAATTTTTGCGTTGTTTAAACCTTGTCACAGAACAAATAAAAATGACCCCGGTTTCATGGCTGTAACTGATTCTGTGCTTTGAAGGAGTCTCCCCCTACCCCATTTAGTTCCCCCTAGACATGACCGGGTGTTCCGTGGGTTAATGGCTGCCACACAGATGCCATTCATTTGGAGACAGGTTGGGCTGTGAGCCACGGTGTCAGGTGCTCTGGCTCGAGCACGTCTCATGCTTCTGTTCTTCACAACAGAGCTGTCGGATATTAGGTTATGGACTACAGGGAACAAAGCAAGGAGCAGGAAGTCCCGTGGTGCCCTGAGGGTCAGGAAGAAACTGTCATGGGGCTGGTAGGAAAACAGGGCACACATGAGTGCCATTCCAGGCTCAGAGAGCCAGTGATTAGTACCAGGTCCTCAGGCAGCCCTGGTTCCTGGTTGGACTTTGGAAATATTTTCCCTTTGCTCTGTAACCCACCGTGACCCAGGGTGACAGGTCATCTTGATTCTAACCAACTTTCCCTATGACAGGCTTTCTTTGTAGGCCCTGGGAACACATTCGGAGAGCCAATCCCTGTTTCCAAAGCCCACGAGCACATTTTCGGGATGGTCCTCATGAACGACTGGAGTGGTAAGGCCTGGTGGCCCAGCTTCCTCTGAGGTTCTGCTCTGAGGAGCACACAGGGCTTAGGGATGAGGCAGGAGGCCCAAGGACTGCAAGAGTGATGCCTCTGACCTCTGACTCTGAGGATGTGGGCCAGTCACAGCCTCCCTCAGCTGCTTCCTCATAATCTGTGGAAGGATGGAGCCGACAGTACCTAAACCTTTGTTAAGCCCCACCTATCTCCACTCACTATTGCCAGCGCCATCGTCCCATTGTGCTGATGAAGAGCTGAGTATGGAGGGATTTTAGCCAGAGACCGAGCTGAGCCTTAAAGTTCAGCAGCCTAGCCTCTGAGTCCCAGCTTTGCACCCTGCTACCACGTGTAAAAGGAAGTGGGTTCACCCATCCCAGGAGAGCCCCCCACCCCCATTTAGGGATTGTCTTGTTACCCTGTGTTGTAGCCTGGCACAGTGCCTCCAAAGACCTCGGTCTTCACACTGAACACCCTTCTTTTCATTCCCCGGGAGGTCTGGTTTGCCCTGTAGAGAGGTCCATGCAGGTTAAGGGCAGGAAGCAGCTTGGTGTGAGCCTATAAGCCATTAAGCTCGTGCCTTCTCCCATAGCCCGAGACATCCAGCAATGGGAGTACGTCCCCCTTGGGCCATTCCTGGGGAAGAGCTTTGGAACCACCATCTCCCCATGGGTGGTGCCCATGGATGCCCTCATGCCCTTTGTTGTGTCCAACCCGGAGCAGGTAAGTACCCCTCTGCTGAAAGCCCTGCTCTCAGTTCCAGCTTCTGCCCCTTCCTGCTGCCCTTTGAGCAAATACAGAGACAAGGCAGTGCTTGGAGGATCGTGGTGCAGTGGCCACGCAGCCGTGGCTCCAGGGATTTCTCTCCCTCCAACGCAGTTCATAGGGAAGAATGTAATGTTGTAGCCTTCAGAGTTCTCTGAGTTCAGGGAACTGCCTGGCAAAACCCTGACTGCACAGTTGCCCCATTGCACAATTTTGGTTTGTGCAACAGCTCCCTCTGGAGTCTACTTTGTAGAATGCATTTGAAATAGAGGGTATAGGGAAAAGTGCATGTCTCTGTGACATTGTACCCAGCTCCCTTGCCCAGGCCTAGGCTGGTGGCCCTCGCTCTCACTCCCCAGCCTGTCCCACTATACTCTGCCCCACCCCTTCACTACTGTCACCCTGCCTTTATGGCCTTATGGCCAACACCTTGCTGGCCCTAACTTGCATAGATGTTCTCTCAAACATGGGTCTGTCAATGACCTATCTGGTCCTCCCGTGTCTGTCTCTGGGTCCAGCTGTCCCCCAGAGGGTTCTGCTCAGGGCTCTCCACTTTTCCTCCCCACACTCTCCCTGGCATTGTCTCAACGGCCTGTGTACTGCCGCATTTCTCCCTCACTCGTCCATGTAACTTTACTCTTGAACAACCTTGGGGACTTTCCGTGCAACTGGGCCCTTCATAAAAGTCCCAGCAAGGCCTTCACCCCAGCTCCTCGGCTCTTCCCCAGCTCTTCCCATCACAGCACCCACCTCTCCCCTCCGCTGCTCTCCCTCCCCTTTGTCTGTCTCCTTCCACCCTCCCTCTCCTTTTCTGCCCTCACAGGACCTGTTGGGCCCCTGCCTTCAATGGCCCACATCTTCCCTCCTCATCCTTCCTCCAGGTTCATCTTTACTGAGCTGTCTGGACCCCAGCTGCCTCTGTCCTTCCTATTTACCATCTATGTACAGCTGTCACCACCCTTGTCCATTCCCAACTAATCAGTGTTTTTTTTTTTTTGCTCTAAAGCAGCTTCAAGGTTAACCATTCATGCACTGAGAAGGAACTGTATTCCACACTAGCATTACTAGTCAGCACTGTTACCATTAGAAACACATGGCTGTTCAGATCACCCCGGGTGATCTTACATCCTGCTGAATGATTTTCCATATTGTATTTTAGGGAAATGCTCTTTTTTGTACAGCACCTCTGCCTGGTCATCAGCTGCCTCCCCAGGTGTTCCAGCACCAAGTAGGGCTGCCAGATTCACTGCTGCCAGGCACTCTGCCTTCCAGGGCACCTGCCTTGCCCTCTCTGTTGTCCTAGCCTTTCCTTATGGGTTCTATGGACCATTTTGCCTCCCACGGTCCCATTTCCAAACCTATCCTCCCCTGCAGCATGGCTCCTTTGCCCGACCTGCTTATGCACCCCATCCTCATCTGATTTTCTCAAATCTAGCACATGCGGCCTCCTGATTCTTACTGCCCAACCATGGACAGTGTGCAGGGACTGGGTCTCTGGAGATAAAACACTGCTGCCACATGGCACACTCTGTGCTGGAAAGCAGAGGCTGCTGGGAACTCAGCCCTCCTGATAGCCCCTGTCTGATGTGCTCTTTCCTCCAGGACCCCAAGCCCTTGCCGTATCTCTGCCACAAGCAGCCCTACACATTTGATATCAACCTGTCTGTTGCTTTGAAAGGTATGTGGCAGGGTGAGTGGTGTTGCCCACGCTCAGCAGGCAGGCATGGGCAGGTGCCATTGCCCCCAAGTGATCCTGAGCTTTGGCTGAGGGGCACTAGAGGTACCTGCTCCAATCTGGAGCCTATGTGGGGCTCTTATAAAGAAAAAGAGAATATAAGGGCCACCCTCCATTTTAGAGGTATTGTCCTCCATGGGAACACTGGTTCTCTACTCTGTGTTTGACTCTTCCAGCCAGGGTCTACCTAGTCTCTGCTCACATTTGTCACTGCCAGCTACCTTACACTGCCCCCCCCCCCCCCGCCCCAGATGTGTGGCACATTTCATCAAGTGCCTGTTTGAAAGCCTGATCTCAGAGGCTCATGGGACCGTGAGAAGCAGGGCTCAGCCCTGAGCAGCAGGTTAGACAACGCAGAGCTCCATGGTGATGGCCTGCCTCCATTGAACCTCTTCACAGCTGTGAGGGGCTGGCTCTCCAGGCCAAGCTGTGGTGTGATGGGCCTGCTCTGCAGGCCGTGGTGGAGGTCCAGTCTCAGCTCTTCTCTTGTCCAGCTACGGGGCTTGGGCAAGTTACCAAGTAATGTCCTAGTTTGTCATCTGTGAAACAGGGGGATTATAGCATTGGTTTTATTGTATGATGGTGATGAAAAAGGAAACTGATCCATACACCGGCATCTAGACCCAGAAAGAACCTGTAACTAGGAAGGGGCAGGTGTCATCTTCATGTTCAGGGTGGAAGAGAGCCTGCCCAAGGGACACATTCAGTTCCTCAAGGCCAAACTCTAGCTGGCTCCTTGTTCCTTCAATTTCTCTCCTTTTGTCTGTGATTACACACAGGCTGTGTTGTGTCCTTATGGTCAGTTGCTGGATTTCAGCCCTCATTAGTGGCAGAAGATGCAATTTCTTTCTTTTTTAACCATTTATTTTACATGCATTGGTGTGAAGGTGTCAGATTCCCTGGAACTGGAGTTACAGACAGTAGTGAGCTGCCATGTGGGTGCTGGGAATTGAACCTGGGTCCTCTAGAAGAGCAGCCAGTGCTCTTAACCGCTGAGCCATCTCTCCAGCCCCAAGACTCAGTTTCTTAAGGATCAAGTAGCCGGATGCTCCATCTAAGAAAGATGCAAGAGCCATGGTGGCACCCTCTGGGAAACTGCTGGTCCCATCCTTTCATGTTTCAAGTCAGGAAGCTGATGAGGCTCAGAGAGGAAGGATTACCCTGAGTCATGGGACTGGCGAGGGCCAGGCTGGAACTAAGTGCCAGGGTTGTAAATTCCAAGCTAGTGATTTCACTCATAGACACATCCTTGCAGTGCCTTCCTAGCTTGCTCTTGTTCTGGGCATTTCCCTGTGTCAGTGAAGGGCACTGATGGGAAGGGACAGGATGGGAGTCAAATCACAGCATCTGGAGGTACAGCGCTCAGCTCAGTTTTGACATTCCACACTGACGTCAGAATGACAGGGTTGGAAAGCAGCCATGTGGGCACCCTGACCTCCTGTGGGGCTTCAGAGCAAGCCTCCTGTTGTAGAGGGGCAACAAGCACCAAGGGAAGGAAGGGCTGGGCTTTGAGGGTGGAAGCACTTTCTAGTGGTTCATACTATCAGAAGATGGCAGCCCGGGCTGGTCCCTTGCATGGAGTAGGTGCTTAGTAAGGACTGCTGGCATTAACGATGAAGTGTAGCAGGTAGACCAGCTCTCCAGAGAGTAGCAGGCTGTGCTTGATCAAGGTCATATGTAGGTTTCAGCCTATGTTGTCTTTGGTGGCCTGGTGGATATTAGGCCATTGTAGGAAGAGGTACTCTGAAGTCAGGTCTAGACTCAGAGGCACACATGCCTCTGTCAGTGGTGTTTCCTGTGGGTGTGGGAGAAGAAACCGAGAGCTTAGATGCACATCTTTGCCCTTCCTGGACCAGATGGCCTCAGTGGGCATCTGCAAGCTCTGATACCCTCTAAACGTACTGTTCCACAGACTAAGTGAAACCCTAGCAGGCAAGTGGAAGCAATTGGAAAGATTTCCTTTCTGATTGGTGGGACTAAATCTTCATGAGTATTACTTCTCAATTTCTAACAGGAGAAGGAATGAGCCAGGCGGCTACCATCTGCAGGTCCAACTTTAAGGTAAGTTTGGAGGCCATTATACTGCTTTGTGGGAGGGAAGAAAGCAACAGGAACTAGCATCCACCTAGGGATGAGAGGGCAGGTCAGCCTGAAAGCCTGGAGTCTCCATGACCCTGTCCCTCCCTAGACATGCATGACATCAACCTGAAAGCCTGGAGTCTCCATGACCCTGCCCCTCCCTAGACATGCATGACGTCACAGAGTCATGTCAAGATGGAGGCTGCTGCACAGATGTGGCCAAAGTTTTCTGGGTGCATTTCACATCTTGTAGGGGCCAGCCTCTGGATCCCATGTCCTCACAGGCTGGATTGATGAATGTGCTGTTTTGTGTACATGTGGGGGCCTGAGGTTGACAGTGGGTGTCTTCCTTAGTCACTGTCCACCTTATTTTTGAGACAAGGTCTCTCCCTGAACCTGCTGCTCACTGACTGGCTAGGCTGGCCGGCTAGCAATCTCAGGGATTCTCCTGTCTCCACCTCCTTAGTGCTGAGAGGACAGGCACACACGGCACCCAGATTTTTATGTGGGCCATGGGGACTCAGTCAAACCTGGGCCCTCGTGCCTGTGCAGCAAGCTTTACTAACACCTTGGCAGCCCACGTATTTTTTAATCAAGTATTTAAAAAATATTTATTATTATTTTAAAAATTGTGTGTGCATGCATGCATGCATGTATGCATATGCATGTGCAAACACTTATGGAGTCCAGAAAAGAGTGATCCCTGGTGCTGGTGTTGCAGGGAATTGTGAGACATCCAACATGGTTGCTGAAAAACCACCTCAGGCTCTCTGCTATAGAAGTATGTGTTCAGTCGGGCGGTGGTGGCGCACGCCTTTAATCCCAGCACTCAGGAGGCAGAGGCAGGTGGATCTCTGTGAGTTCGAGGCCAGCCTGGGCTACAGAGTGAGTTCCAGGAAAGGCTCAAAGCTACACAGAGAAACCCTGTCTCGAAAAACCAAAAAAAAAAAAAAAAAAAAAAAAGAAGAAGTATGTGTTCATAAGCACAGAGCCATCAAAAAGCAGAGTTTTTTTGTTTTGTTTTGAAACAACAGCACACACATGTGCAGATACAGTAAAGATATGAAAATGCTAGAATCATAAGTGTAAATGCTCAGGAGTTTTCACAAAGCAAGCATCCCCGTGCATCCAGCACCCATGTCAGAAAGGGGAATTCCCAGCCCTCCTCAGCCTACTGCCTCTTTACAGCTATGCCACCATTTTCCCAAGGCAGACCACATCTCCATGCTTCTCTTGCCATACAGACTTTGTCTGTGTATCAGTTTCACAGGGATGGTTATAGTGTGTATCTTTTATGCTGGACTTCATTGTTGCAGTGCTGGATTTGTGAGGGTCAGCCACGTTGTTCTTTGCAGTGGGAACTTGTTTGTCTCATTGCTATAAAGGGTGCTACTGTGCCAGCTCCACAATGGGTGATGGGCATTTGGTTGCTTCCATATTTTGGCTACCCCTGAATTACTGTAGCATTCTAGTACACCTTGGAGTACACGTGTGCACATTTCTGTTGGGTATATATCCAGGAATAGAACTGCTGGGTCATCACACACACACACACACACACACACACACACACACACATACACACACACACACACCACAAAGCAGAGTGCATAACTAGAAATCCTTTTGAATAGCTTTCCAAGATGTTTCCAAGACGTTCCACCTAACCAAGAGAATCCCTTGCAAGTGTGTCCATAGGTCAGCTGAATCTGGACAGCCCTTCACAGTGGCTTCTTCCCCACTTGGTTCTAGATTACATCAAGCTGGCAGCTGAGATTAGCCATCACTTGAACATTCCCACTACTGACATCTAAGAAATTCTGCTACTCCATGTATGGACATGTAGTGTTTGCCTTTTCAGCTCAGCTATTCAGGGAATTGTGGCTTTAGTTGTATTTCCATAATGACTAACACAACTGGGTACCTCTTTATATGTTCTTTGGCCACTTGAAGACTATGAATGGATGCATTTGTTTTGCATAACCTTCCTTGTAGATAAAAGAAGTAGGGAGCTTGAAGAGGAACCAAGGGAAGAATCTACTTCTGAGGATCCATTACCTGCCAGTATGGCTGTAGAAGGGAGACCCAGGAAGCTGTGTCATTGTGGAGGCTTGGGCATGCATTGCCTCTGAGTGTTTCAGGCACAGGAGCCTTGACCTCACTCTGACATTCTGTTCAAATCATTTCAGCTCCAGGGCTGGTGTCACTTCCAAGTCCTGGTCTGAGGGGTGGTCAGCCAGGCCTTACTGCAGGAAGGACAGCCCACCAGGAACAGCTCTGGGAACTCCCAGGCCTCAGGTGCTCATGAACACATAGGCCTGGGCAGACAGAAAGGGTTGAGAAGGCCCAGCTTTCAGACATCTTGGAAAAGATGCTTGGGAGAGATGAGGTTCCAGAGGAAGTGAGGTTAGAGCTGGTGGGCGAGGTGGGTCGGAACCTTAGCAGGTAGACAGCAGGGCATCTGGAGAGGGACTAGAGGAAGGCAGAATCTCAACTGAAATGAGACAGGCATGAATTATAAGTATGCCTGGGGTGTGGAGGGCAGGGAAGGCATGGGGCAAGCAGACTACATCCTGCCCGGAAAGCGGGATGCCCACACGTGTCCTACTGCGTCCCTGCCCTCAGCATATGTACTGGACCATGCTGCAGCAGCTCGCACACCACTCTGTTAATGGCTGCAATCTGAGACCTGGGGACCTCTTGGCTTCTGGAACCATCAGTGGATCGGTGAGTCAAACTACCCCCTGGGACACCAAACCAAAGAGAGTCAAATTGAGCAATGTTGGGGGGTTAAACCGCTTCCCTGCTAAGGGAGATCTGTGTGAGGGCCAGAGCTTGACTCTGTCTCCCCAGAAAGCAGCAGTCACTCTTTCTAACCCTCTGTTCCCTCCTAGGAGGAGGTGACCTCACAGCTGCAGCCTTCTCATCTACCCCTGAGCCACCACGAGCCTGGGGAGAGGGGTGCACAACTTTGGAAATGATGATGTGGGGGTGGTAAATAGGTTGGCTTCACTCGGTGAGATCCTGGCCATGTTGACTGGGAGGTGACAGCCTCTTGCCAGTGGTAGGGTGTTGGGCATGACACTGTCTGGGGTTGTGAGCTGCAGTCTCTGGAATGAGAAGGCACACTGAAGCAGGCCCCTGGGCACACTATAGGCACAGGACCCGGAATAGGCAGCGTGCTTACAGGAAAGATGAAGGCACAGCCTGTTGAGCTACCAGGACATGTCCATAGTGGCCTCAAAGGTTTTATGGGCCCCTATGTCTCACTGTACTGTCCACACTAGAGCTGGTATATCATATCTCCAAGATATAAATACGTGTCAACCCCCCACCCCCCACTGCTTCTCTTCTAAAGGAACCTGGAAGCTTCGGCTCTATGCTGGAACTGTCCTGGAGGGGAACAAAGGCCATTGATCTAGGCCAGGGGCAGACCAGGACCTTCCTGCTGGATGGTGATGAAGTCATCATAACAGGTATGGACCACCAAGCCCCACTGGCCGAGAGAGATGGGAATCTATCTTTCACTCACGGGCATTTCTAGATTCTGTGTTTGTATGGTATGCCTTGGGCTACAGCCTGGGCTACAGCCTGGGGACTTCATGTGTTAGTGTCCACACAGGAAACATCATGGGAGTCCATTTTGCATCCCTTCCCCCAAGCAATTATTCAGTAATGGTGGGGCCCTTGCTTTCTGGACTATGTCCCAACCCATGGGCAGGGGCTGATGTGGCAGGGGTCAGGGAGGGCATGACTACAGTAGTACTTGAAGTTCTCAGCAGCTCCTTTCCAGGAGGTTGAAGACCTCACATCTTTGTTGCCGTTTTGCCCTCCACATATTTATCAATAGCAAGGAAGGCACGATCGTAATTAGAAGACCACTTCTTGGAGTCATAAGCATTCCAGTGACCTCCCAGGGACTTACCAACAGTGTGACCGTTGCTGTACTCAACATTCTGAGACTTGGTTGGCCTCATCTTTACAATTTGATAGCAGAGCTGGAGGATGATGCCAATAGCTTTGCTCTTGGAAGAAGTGCACTGGGCCCCCAGTGAGTCCCCCGGAGGGTGTCCTGGGACTCCAGAAATGGGGAGTAGCTCACGGTAGAGTGGCTCATATTGGCTCACACTGCGGCGGCGGCCGTACACTATTGTACAAGATACACAGTGAGGTTGGCATTTCATGGAGGCATTGCAGATGGTGAATAAGGAAGTGTGGTTTCCCCTCCAGGCAACTGATCTGTACAGTCCCAATTCTTTTCACGTTGGGGTAGCTAAAGCTTGGAGTATATGTTACAATTAAAGTACTTGAACCAGTGATGATGTGTATCTAGGTCTTCTTGTCCTCTGCTGTTTTACATAACTATTTCTAGAGAGCCAAGCACCTTGACCTTTCTTTGATGGGAACTCTCTGAAGGGCATTCTTCAATGGGGCCTATAACCATCTCCTACATTCTCACCTGTTCTGCTCTCAGCCCACCTGCTGCTCATTTCCTTTTGTGTATCTTCTGCTCTCCCACACTTCCTTGATGCTACCCTGGCACCAATAGTCTGTTCTGTGGACTGAAACTATTGTTGGTTACTTTATTACTCTTTTACTCTATGTGGGGGGGAATCCCACCATCCAGCTCCCAAATAAATACACAGAGGCTTATTCCTACTTATAAATGCCCGGCTTTAGCTTGACTTGTTTCTTGCCAGCTTTTCTTAACTTTGAATTATCCCATCTACCTTTTGCCTCTGAGCTTTTTTCTTTTCTTAGTTCTGTATATCTTACTTTTACTCTTACTCCATGGCTGGCTGTGTGGCTGGGTGGCTGACCTCAGTATCCTCTTCTCCTTGTTCTCTTACTCCTTCCTCCCAGATTTCTTCTTCTATTTGTTCTCTCTGTCTACCAGCCCCACCTATGCTTTCTCCTGCCTCACTATTGGCTATTCAGCTCTTTATTAGACCATCAGGTGTGTTTGTTTGTTTGTTTGGTTGGTTGGTTTTTCAGGACAGGGTTTCACTGTGTGGCTTTGGAGCCTGTCCTGGAACTCGCTCTGTAGCCCAGGCTGGCCTCAAACTCACAGAGATCCACCTGCCTCTGCCTCCTGAGTGCTGGGATTAAAGGCGTGCACCACCACTGCCCGGCCCATTGGATGTTTTATACAAGCAAAGTATCACAGCTTCACAGAGTTAAACAAATGCAACATAGACAAAAGTAACACTCCTTAAAATAATATTTTGCAACAGGAATCTTGGATCCATTTCTTCATCTTAGTCTGCTGAATATCTCTTTAAGGTGCCCTCTCCTCTCTGTGCAGTTGACATGCTCTAGATATTCCACATCTGGAGCCCTCATGAAGCTTCTACAACAGACCTTTTAGTCAGTCCTGCTCACAGGGTCCCCCTGCTTGCTCCACAATGCTCCTATTCTGCCCGAGATTCCTCTCATGGTACCCATCTGCTGCCTCACACAATCTATCATCACTTTGCGTGTGATTCTGTGCGACTCACTCGGCGTCCTTCTACGACAGACTCTCTACTATCATAGCACCCCTTTTCATAGATTCTGTGGACCCTCAATCTCAGCCTGGCACTGTAGCTGGAGTTTTCCTGCCTGGCCAACAGTCAGGACAAATCTCTCTCACCTGCCAGTCCCACAGCTGCTCAGACCCGACCAAGTAAACACAGAGACTTATATTGCTTACAAACTGTATGGCCGTGGCAGGCTTCTTGCTAAATGTTCTTACAGCTTAAATTAATCCATTTCCATTAATCTATACCTTGCCACGTGGCTCGTGGCTTACCGGCATCTTCACATGCTGTTTCTCATCATGGCGGCTGGCAGTGTCTCTCTGACTCAGCCTTCCACTTCCCAGCTTTATTCTCCTCCTTGTCCTGCCTACACTTCCTGCCTAGCCAATGGCCAATCAGTGTTTTATTTATTGACCAATCAGAGCAACACATTTGCCATACAGAACATCCCACAGCATGGCACAGCCTGGTTCAGCCTTCCCTGCCACTAAAGTAGTCACCTTTGTCCTCTACCGGGAGCTCACTTAGTGTCACTCAAGTCGGCAGCATGTCCTGTCAGCTCCCATACCTAGCCAAGGGCTCGTCTTCATTTTCCTGGATGTGATAAGAGCTCAGGAGCTTGAAGGTCTTCTCTTACAGTTCTGGAAGGCAGAAATCTGCCGTGCAGGAGGAGAAGGGGCTGCACTCCTTCCAGGTGTCTGGGGGGAAGGCCTATTCTTGGCCTTCCAGTACAGTGCCACCAGCAGAGCTCCAGTGCCCATTCCTGTCAAGACACAGTCTTGTTCTGTCCTCAAACCTCCCTCCTTGTCTCATATGACATGCTCGTGTTGGTTTTAAGACCCATCCAAAGAGCCTTCTCTGAAGGCTATTTCCACAATCCCATCTGAAAGCCTTCAGTCTGTGAGGTAGGTTTGAGGTCCCAGTGTGGGAGCTGATGTCTTTGGAGTTCACAGCTGAATCTGAAGTGCATAGAGACAGGCTAGGCACGCCATTGAGTGGACCGAACCAAGCAGAAAGGTACAGGCAGAGCTCAAGACAACAGGTGACACCCTGGGGTTGACCACTACCCACTTTGCTCTCACTGATCTTAATTCTGGTTAACTGTGTAGTGCCCCATGGTCTCTGTGCTTCAATGTCATGTATCCAACCAGTTATGGAGGGAAAACACTGAGAAGAGTTGTGTCTTTACTGAAAATATCCAGTTCTCCTGTCATTATTCCCTAAGCCATACAGTGTAACTCTTGACATGGCCTTTGTATTGTCTTAGACATTGTAAGCCACCCTTAGATGATTTGAAGTGTAGGGACCATGTGTGTAGGCCATGTGCAAACTGTCCAGGGGCTTACCCTGGAGATGCCAAGGGCTGACTGTACTTATTAAATGTCTGCAGAGTCCAGCTGTGTTGGAGGTATATATCTACTTCTGTGATTTCTCTTTTTACTCACCCAAGCCTTTGGAAAATGTGTCATTGTCCCAGTTTTGCAAAGTAAAAAACCTAGGAGAGCATAAGGGAGGTGAATTAGGGCACACACAGACAGCAAGGTCAGGACACAGTTCCCGTTGTGAGCTACTCTCTCCAAGGCTAGACTTCTGCATGTCAAGCAAGTACTCCAACTGCTGTATGCCAGTGTTATGTATGATATTGCTCTGGCACCTGCCAGCCAACCCCAGGTTCTTGCTGTGGTCCTGTGGATTAAGTGAAAGCATTTTTTTTTCAAGTGTTGATGTGGAAAGAGAGAAGGAGAGAGAGAGAGAAAAAGTGACATTGATTCTCTGATGTCAGTACGACAGAGTCTGAATCAGCTGCCTCTAACAATGCAGTCTTGGCTGGGCAGTTGTCAGGCCTGGAAAAAAGGGCCCTGGGGCTGAGGCAGGCAACCCCATGGTGTACTTGATGTTTGTACCACAGAGGGCAGGAGGAGTCCTTTTCTATGTGGTTGTGAGAAGCAGGATCCACAGGCGCCCCGGTTTGTCCTGCCTTGACACCGGGGCCTGTATACCGCCTTCCAGCTTCACATGCTCTGGTTCTCTTTGGCTCTTTCCTACTGGCTTCCTCTGACTTTCCTTTATCATTCTCATTTTCCTGCTTTCTCAATGAGGAGACAAGTCCCGATGTCACTCCCTGATGACTGAGTATGTGGTAGCTTCTCATGTAGTTCATATGACACACTGTATAAGGTGCCCATGGGTACCCAGACCTCACCCTGCATATACAGAGACCACAATTGAAATCCGCATCCTTGGGTTGCAGAGATGGGTACAAGCAGAGCCAGGATTTGAACCTGTGTGGCCCCTGCAGGGAACCACATAAGAGAAGAAAATAACCAAACACCCTCAGTTTGAGCAAGTGGCTTCAGGCATCAATCTCCAGCCTTGCCTTCTGTCCTCACTTGACATTCTGCTTTGGACCTGCGAGGACCTGTTCCTGGAGATCGGCACTTCTCTGCCCACTGCCCTTTAGCTCACCGTTAGTTGAGACTTCTGTCTTGGCATCTGAAACCTTGTGACACAAACCCATTTCCTTTCCTGCAGTCATGTGATAGTGGCGTCTCTCACATCTGCCTGTTTTTCTTCACCACACAGATCTGCTGCCCATCTGGCCCAGGGAACCATGGGGCTTCTCAGTAGTGTGCTTGAGTTTTCTTCCACTGGCTGCTGGGATCTCATTTCTTTCCATTTCTTCCTTCTCTCATCGAGTAGCAGGAGGCACAGCTCCAGGCAGGGGACCTGTCTCTAGGGTGGGGGTGTGCAGTGAGTTAAATGAAAGGCAAAGCCCTGGGTCGGCTTCCATCCTGAGCGATGCCACCTTTGTCTTTATGCTGCCCCAGTCCACCCTCTGAAGCAACTCACGCGCAGGAAGTCTGCAGCTCTGTGACTGATCCTGCCCTACTGTGTTTCAGGTCACTGCCAGGGGGACGGCTACCGTGTTGGTTTCGGCCAGTGTGCTGGGAAGGTGCTGCCTGCCCTCTCGCCAGCCTGAGGAGGCTCCAGAAGCCACAGGCCACAGCCTGGCCTGCTGGGGACAATGCTGCAGCTGCCCTCCATGCAGGAATGAATAAAGCCATTTTGCTTGTAGGAAGTGCCACAGAGTTCTCTGTCCATGGTTTTGTCCAGTGGGTCAGTGTATGCTGCTCCCATGGAGACAGGCATTAGTTCATCGCTTCCGGGTGTGAGGCTGAAGGCCCTGATGGGGTTCTTCATCAGACACCTCAGGCCTTCAGTACTCCCTGGAATGTGGGAAGAGGGTGGCCCCTGAAGTATTCCGCACCCCCCACCCCCCAGAGAGATACAACCAGTGTGTGTGTGTGTGTGTGTGTATGTGTGTGTATACATGCATGCTGTGCGTGGAGACAAAGACACATACACACAGGGTGGGGAGGTATTGTAGAGACTTAAAGCTTCAAATCTAAGTGCTGGTTATCTGGCAAAACTCTCTTTTCTCCTGTGGCTGTCACCATGGAACCAAGTCCTAGGTGCACACCTGAGCCATGGCTAGGATGAACAAGGGTCCTGGTGCTCACCTTTCTCCTTCATACCCACTGGAGCCCAGAAGCAGCCCTGCCTGAGGTCCTCTGTTCCCACCCACTCTACACAGTATCCTTAGCCCAGTTTCTGAGTGATCAAAGAGGATGCCTGTGACTCTTCTTAGGCTAGATGAGTGGGAATTCACGCACGCTAATAAGTAATGCCGTTCAGTAGTCATTTATGAGCTTTGTAACTTTATCACCTTCCTGAGTCTTATGAGTTTCCTGGGCTCCTTGTTTTGTTTCCTGAGTCTCATAACCCTCACCCCTACCTTCCTTTTGGAAGAAATAGCTAGACAACACTCCACCACTTCCTCCAGCCTTCCCCTCCCTCTTCTGAAATGTTCCTTGAGCCTTAGAGAGGATGATATAGATGTCTGCTTATTTTCTTCCACTTATATCTTAGAATTGGGTCACTATGTCACAGCAACAGTCACTGATTCTCCAGTTTGTCCCCTCATGAAACTCCATAATAACTCCTGCCCACTGCAAAAAATGAAGTTTCCCTCCATGATAGAAGCTGATTGGTGCAGTCATCTAAGGATTGTGCACAAATCTTTAGAAGATAATTGGATAGGCACATATTTCTGTTTAACAATCAATAGCAGTCACCTCCACAACTTCTGGGATTTGCCCTGGCTTATGGTTTCAAACACAGGCTCCCTCTTATTCCAAACACAGAATAGGCCTTAAATCTATTTAGAAGGTGGTTGGTTGCATTTATAACAGCCATTCTACTATTGTACCAGTAGGCACATCTTGCCTGACATGTTGATAGCATGGTATACTAGGTACTAGGTCAATAACCAGGTCAGTCTCAGCTTGATTTCTCCAGGTGCTTTTGCCAGAGCGTGTGGTGCTTTCAGCAATACAGACTTAACATCTACTTGGGGCATGCGACCTACAGCAGAGGCAATAGATTGTATGGATTGCGGTGCTCTAGTCACTGCTCCGGCTAGCGACTTGTAGGGAATGTAGAAGCTGCAGCCTTCCTCAACTCTGTTTCTCCGTCTGCCTTGCCTCCCACCTCCAGAAACAACTGGCAAAACTGTAGTATAGAATGGGTTTTGAAAGGCTTAATTTCAGTGACTGACATACAAAAAAAAGCAGTATCTGCCCCTTTTCTATTTTATTTATTTTTTAAAATTGATACACAAATTGTACATATTTATAGCATATCATAGGATGTTTTGATATGTGTGTATATTGTGCAGAGCCAAGTCTGGGTAACCCTATATATCACCTCAAACATTACTTCTTTGTGGTAGAAGCATTCAAAATCCCTTCTCCAAGCTCATTTGAATCTGCAGCCTAGTAACCCAATGGAACTGATTTCTTTAACTGTAACATAAGACCCAGTGACCAGGTCCCCCTCTGCTCCCCCAGTCTCTGGTAACCACCATTCTCCTCTCAGCTTCTGGGGAAGCAACGGTTTTTGACTGCATATGTGACATCATGAGTACTTGTTTTTCTGTGCTTGGCTCATTTCACAAAATGACCTCCAGTTCCATCCATATCCCAAAGACAAGATTTCATCCTTTCTAGAGATGAATCAGATTCCACTGTACTCAGGTACCACATTTTCTTCATCTGCTCATCCATTGATGAATGTTTATAAGTTTTCCAGCTCTTGGCTATCGTGAATTGTGCTGTAATCAACATGGGCGTAGAGTGCTTTGAAATATTGCATTTCCTTTAGATATCCCCCTAATGTGGGATCATATGGCATGCCTAGTTTTAACTTTGTGAGGAACCCCCCTGTTGCTTCTATCATATCTTCCAGCTAATGGTGTGTGACTCATGAAATTGAGTTTTCCACCCTTGTAATAAATAAGCATTGATGTTCTGTATTGGGAATCACCAGCACACATGGTGGGAGTCCGATAAACTGGAAGATGGCTTTGTGCCATTTGGGGCTTGTTAGGTGAACCAGTGTACAGAAAAGGGGATTGCTGCACTGTCAGGCAATTTTTCCCACACCCTAGAAGCTATGGCATTACTGCTACCCCACAGGGGCAAAGGAGACTCACTCCAGAGCCCTAAGGTTCATTGGGACACTTGGTACATCTGATGCCCTGTGTCCTCATTCTGGAAGTCTAAGGTTCAAATTCCTAATTAGTTCTGTGGAGACTCCAGTGCTCTTCATCTTGGGACTACAGATCCAGGAGCTCCTGCGGTCCTCTTCTGGGAGTTATAAAGTGCTTCCAACTAGACCTGCAAGGCCCCTTCCTGAGTTCTTTGGGCATGTATTAACTCAATAAAAGCAGGACAAGGATTTGTCTCCTCTCTCAATGAGGTAAAATGCCCCCACAGCCAAGGGACTATGCAGGGGATGTGGGGTAGGAGGGGAAAGACCCAAGACTGCTGTCCATCCCAGGCCTCATGACCACTACAGAGGAGGCTCTGCTAGCCTCTCTGCCTTGCACTGGCTACATTCCATTGTAAGGTCTGGCTGGGAATGAGGCAAAATTGACATTATCTGGGGCAATATGGTGTCCACAGGACTGTTTCCTTAGGATAGTGTTTGCCCTCGCTTCTTAGCAGAGTTCCAGATGGATGCTCAGTGTTGCTTGGGGTGGGCTGTGCTGGTTATTTGTTAGTTAGTCCAGTGTGCTGACATACATAGATCCTATTACTCAGCAACCCCATCCTTTAGTGTCTATTATTTTTGTCAGTGGGAGACCGAGAAAGGAAGCAAAACGTATCTCCAACTCTTGTTCTACCGGCCTAGAACTGTGCAAGGACCTTTTTTTTTTTTTTTTTTTTTTCTGGTTCTAAGGATTGAACCTAGGATCTCAGCCATCTTAGGCAGGTGCCCTACCACTGAGCTATAGTCCAATCCTAGGCAAGAGTGTTAGATGTACCCGTGGCACAGCTCCTTTTGCCTGACTCTACCCTGCAGCAACCCTTGCTGGCATCTGGTTGTCCTTCCTTGTCTCTTCAGGCTTAGATAAGTCTGATGTCTCATTGAGGGCTGTCCTTGGTATCTGCCATTCTGTTTCCCTGAGCTCTACCCAACCTCTGTGAATGTACTTTCTTTAACTCTATCAATATTTCAAGTGCACCATCTCGCTCCTACTAGCCACTGACAGTTACAGAGAGCCTTCCGGGGGGGGGGGGGGTGGCAAAAGGAGGGAAAGTTTTAGTTGATGACTGTCAAGGACTTATGGAATCAGCGCAGATGGGCAGAAGCAAGTATGATGAGGCTGTCTGTCCATCTGTGCCAGAACTGATGTGGGAAACTCAATGTGATCACTTCTCAGTAGCCTGGGCCATCAGCTACAGAGACTATTATGGATATTATCCATCCTACATAGCAGGACCAGTCCTCAATAGCAATGGGACAGGGACCCATTCTTGTGGACAAAAAAAGGCTTTGCAATTATTTCCGCTTGGTGCTTGATAAAAGGACCGGCCTCTTTTGGAAACCTCTGGAGTCCTGCGGCAATTTTGTGGGGTGGAGAGCCACTTGTTTTTCATTCCAGCAAGGACATGTGGGGCTAGGAGCAAATATCAATGACAGAATGCTGGCCTCACATGTACAAGGCCGTGAGTTCCATACCCAACAATGCAATCACTCCACCAAAACAAAACAAATGTGGACATCTGAAAATTAATTGGAAAAGTAAAATGGCTGTGATGGCAATTTATATGCCACACTGGGGCAGCTGGGTCCCACCACTTACATCAATCAACCTCTGAGCGTGCTCAGGGACCACCTTCCTTCTGGTGGCTATCATCTGGCTTTTTTGTTTCTAAATATTTTTATTACCCCATTTGTCTCTGGGACACCTGGGTCCTTTCTGTGTCTTACCACACAGATGGACCCACTGTTGCAGTTAAATAGGCATGAAAGGACTATGCATCTGCCTTTGCTGAGAGCTTGAGATGACACATAGGGACTTCCCCACAGCACATCACTGGCAGCAACTTGAACCCAGCCACTAGATGCCGTTCTCTGGGGACTTTGTCATCCATTCCCTGCTCTAGAGTGTTTGCCTTCTTCTCTGGCTTGCAGCTGACTCTACAGCCCTCTTTTCCTCCAGTCTCTCTTCATCTCCTCTCTGCCAACTTCCAGCCTTCAGCACTAATATTTTGCTGCTATGTTTCCTTCTCTGTCCATAAGTACAGCCTTTCTCTCAGCTCGCAGAAACTTATGAGGGTGCTCTGGTCCCTAAAGGACCGCTTCCTCCATCCTTCAGAACAGAAAGCACGAGAGAAGGAAAACTCGAAATTCTTCCACCTTCCTCTCGCCTTCACATGATCAAGTGACAGAGATGGGGACCTCCCTTTCCTTCTTTCGAGGAGAGGTGTGCTATTAATCTTCCTCCTCCCCTCTCCTGAGCAAGCCCCATGCTCAGCACAGCCTCTTCTATCTATTTCGTCTCAGCACATGTATAATGGGAAAAGGAAAGCAACGTAAGTATTTGCCGCAGGGGTCTGCATTGTTCTGCGCATGTACAAGGGAGGGGACCCTTCTAAAAACAGACCTTAATCATGGTAAAGGTGGAGGAAGCTGGGAGATTGGCTCAGTAAGCAAAGTGCTTGCTGTGCGAGTGTGAGGGCCTGAGTTTGAATCCCCAGAGCTCATGTGACAGAGGGTGGGCGCAGCAGTGCACATCTGTAATTTCAGTACTTCCATGGGAGATGGCAGGCAGAGAAAGGACGATCCCTGAAAGCTTGTTGGCCAGCTAGTTTGGGGTAGAAAGTAGTGAACAGTGAAGAAGAGACTGTCTCAAACAAGGAAGGAGCAACACTCAAGACTGTCCTCTGACCTCCACACATGCATGCTTATATTCACACACCAGAACGTGTACGCGCCATTCACCCACCTCTCTCTCTCTCTCTCTCTCTCTCTCTCTCTCTCTCTCTCTCTCTCTCTCTCTCTCTCTCTCTCTCTCTCTCACACACACACACACACACACACACACACACCACACAGATACAAACAAGGAGAAACAGTAATGTGAAAAGCTGCTTGTGAAGGGATTCTGGTTGAAAGAGTGTCTGAAGCTACACAGCCAAAGGTACTTAATGGACAGCTTGCAAGAGGATGAACAAGCGAAGCGAGGACATGGGCACCAAATAGAAACTGCTGCTTTGTTGCCTTCTCAGAAGCTTGGCTCTGGAGGGTGGGGGTGGGTTTTGAAATCACCTCTTTTCTCAAATGTTATTTCCCCTTGCCATGAAAACAGCACGAAGAGATAGGTGAAAAATACTAAGGGGTCTGGGTTTGGCAAATTGTCTGAGACCAGGAGCCCTGGGCAATGCTTCTCAAACAGGGATGTGCTACCATCCAGGAATCTGGCTAACCTAGGTGCCTAGGCCCAGGCTGTCTAGTCTGATTCTAGTCTGCCTAGTCTGCAGATCTGGGGAGGGGAGGAGGGGGCTTCTAGCAGGTGTGGTTTGCCCTCAGCAGGCAATCTGAGAAGCACAGCTTGGGGCATCCCATTTTCCCTCCAGAGAGCTCCAATAGGAAGTCTTCAGAGCTCTTCAGATCTCTTCTTCCTGTGCTGTCATTAATAGCTGGGAACAGGCCCTGGCTGACTCTGTAAACCCATCCTAACAGGTCCCACAGAAGTGCCTGCGGTCTGTGAGGTAGGTTTCTGAGGAAGGCTTGGCTGGAGGTAACGCCTCATAACCATGTTTGGAGCCTGTGCCAACTGTCCCTTTGTGCATCCCACTGTGTGTGTGTGTGTGTGTGTGTGTGTGTGTGTGTGTGTGTGAGAGAGAGAGAGAGAGAGAGAGAGAGAGAGAGACAGAGAGAGAGAGAGAGAGAGAGAGAGAGAGACAGAGAGAGACAGAGAGACAGAGAGACAGACAGAGAGACAGAGAGACAGAGAGACCGAGAGACAGAGACTGGGCATGCCCTGGAAAGCCACCTCAACATCATCTGTTCACTTTTAGGGGTCACCTAGCAGTGACAGTGCTTTGGAAACTTTTTTCCCAGGTAGCCTGAGGTGCATGGGAACCCATGGCTCAAGCGTGGGTGATGGAGGAGGTCTGAGGTCCACAGCACAGGTCTCTTTTGATAGGGCAGCAAGTCCTACCCTAGAAGGACACAATAGATGCAGCTCACAGACGTGAAAAAGCTGACAATAGTGATGATGTGTGTCAGTAAACCCCGGATGCTGTGGTGTCATGTGCAGAAGAGGTCATTGTGAATGTTCTGCTGGCCAGTGCTGGGAGCTCTGGCTCTTGGAAGGCAGGGTTCTTTTCCTAGGGTGAGAGATTCAGGAAAGGATGCTCCTGTTTGCTCATGCTCTCCCATCTTATCTCCGCAACAACCTTGTGAGGTAGATGTTATTCCCCTATTTTATAGATGGGGAAATTGGAGCTCACAGGTGCTGATTTATTTAGGGGTCACAGAACAAGAACACAGGAGTTGAGGCTGCTGGTGTGTGTGTGTGTGGGGGGGGGTGCAGGCTCTGACCTAGAATCCTTGCAGCAAGGTCACAGATGTAGGTGACAGTGTGTGGGAGAAGAGGGAAGGAAGACAGGGAAGAGTGATCACCAGCAACCTAGTCTTAGCTCCCACGGTAGCTTGGCTCCTTTCACTGACAAATAGACAGACAGACTTCCCCTTCCCATCTTACAATGAGGAAACTGAGGCACCTAGAGGTGACGTGACTCTCTCAAGATCATACAGCCTTTGAGTAGCTGAAGCAGAACTAGAACCCAGATCTTGCCTGGAGCTCCTGGAATGCAGGGCTTCTGAAGGTTCCTGGGTGAAGTAATTTGTGTGAGAACATTGTGGAAAAGTTAAATAGAGAAAGAAAAGGACTATATTCAGTCACTACAGAGTATACTCTGTCACAAAAAAACAGCCACGATATTTTGAGAGGCAGAAGGTATCCGAGCTATCATATGAATCAATGCAGCATCATGCGTATGGTGTGAATTACTAAAAAATTTCTTGTAAAAAAGACTTGAAGAAATATATCAAAATGATGGCTTCTGGGAAGTCGGACTGTAAGTGCTTTTCACCTCCCTTTCTTCTATTTATAGTTTTCTTTTATTATATTTATATTTCTTCTATATTTTCCCAGTGTCTAAAATGCACATCTCATTTTTAACAGGAAAAATATATCCCTCTATATTTTAGTTAAAAAAAAAAAAACAAACCCCATTTGGAAGTAGCTGTGTGCCTTGTGAGAATTTGCAGAAGCCCCCTGAATTTTCCATTCTTCCTGCCCCTCTACTGCTAGGCTGTAGGTAAGGGTCCTGGGCTCTCAGCAGCCTCTCTGTGCTGTGCATTTGACCACTGTTTGCAGATCAGAGTGTCTGTTCTTTGTTCATTTTCCAAAGGTGCATAGGAGCCTTTCCAAAGGTGCAACCATCACCCTGCAGTCTCCCAGTGGAGTCCCAGGATGGACCCCACTTGCCTGAGTCATGGCTTAGTACTCTTCTCCCCAGTCTTCCTCAAACTGCCTTGCCTCTAGCATGCTGGCATTTCCCTGTGGTGGTCATGTGAGAGCCAATAAGGTGAAGGTGAGCCTTCTCCATCTTTGGGTGGTCGTAGCCACTTCCAGCCTCCAAGCGCTTGGAGGATGTTGGCCAGGGTATGAAGATGTGTATCCTGGGACACTGTGACTTGTCCTATGCCTCAGTCATCCAGATGCTGCTCCTCCCAGGTGGACGTGGGGATGGCACTGTAGGGGTCCATAATGACCTTGGCACAGCGGATGATCATGACTACAAGGAAGAGGCAGAGGAAAACGAAGCAAGCCAAGGTCAGCCCCTTGTCCACATCCACATAGACTGGCTCGGGAGTGGGTTCCTCCATCCTGCAGCAGTGACTGTGGCCTCCCGGGGCTCCAGCCTGACTGGTACCATTTTCTACCCCTGTAGAGAGAGTCAGTCAGTGAGGAAGTTAGGGTCACTTGTTTGTGTAAGTTACCTCCAAGGTCAAGAGCTTACTGCTAAGGACACCCAACTTAGAGGCACTCATGGTCACAGCCCAATACTTTGTAAGCAATCTTTGTTTCCAGCAATATGTACCCCAGGGTGGTGGTGGTGGGGTGACAGTGAGTCTCAGCAGGACATGGGTGGAATGGGCTGAGGGACCACCTTGAGGTCAGTGCCCTGTAGCTACCTCCAATCTTAAAGCCCTTCAGGAAGTCATGAGGGCAACACTCTCCACTCAGCAAATGCAGTGGCAGAGCATGATCAAAACACTTTAAAAGATGGGCAGAGGATATTTCTTAAGTATTCAGTAGAACCTGGATTTCTAAAGAAACTGAGGGCTAAACAGCCAGTAGGAACAGGCAGAAAAGAGCTGCTGCTGTAGAGCAGTGGGAGGCAGGGGGACCACATTCTTCCGGGGACTCCCCAGGGTTTGTACTGGGGCTCAGCCTTGTCTTGAAAGATGTGTTGGGGGCAGAAGGTGCAAGGTTGGAACAGTCAGGCAGACCCCAGTCCTGTTCTGCTACTGTAACAGGTCTGGGTAGCATCCCTCAAGCACTTTCGGGTCCAATGCTCTCCCTGCTGAGTGCAGGCAACCATACCTGAATTATGGGGACCTGTGCATTAAATAAAATTGATCCTGTGTTCGAAAATCCAGCACAACCTCTGGCCCTGGGACTGGCCAGTTAACAAGTAGGTGGGCTGACAAAGGATTGGGGGGTGGGGCAAGAGAGGAAGACTAGCTCAGTTCCCAGCAAGGCCAGTTGCAGAGCAGAGAGCATGCAGATGAGAGGCCTGCCTGCCCAGCTCTCCACACAGGCTCACTTGGTAAATATGGAAGCTTAGCTACAAAGCAGGTAAATGACAGCCAGCATCCCACACCCCAACCTCAAAGCATCCTCATTTCCCCTTAGACCATCTCTGTCCTCAGCCATCCCTGGACCACTCACCTGCCAGCTGGAGTGGTCACCACTTCAGGAAGACCCGGGGTTGAGCTGTTCCAGGAGGCAAGATGGACAGTTGAACATCACAGCTTGAGCCAATGAGTCAGGATGGCTTCTCCGAGAGCAGAGCTGTCGGTGGCTAGAACAGAAGGACAGAAGACTGGTTGTTTCTGGAGACTTCTACCCCGAGTGAGACCATGACTGGGCAGGAAGGAAGAGTGCCCTGCAGCCCCTCCACACATTCCCTGGCTCATGATGGATTTTCTTTCTTTCCTTTTTCCAAATTAGTTTTAGTTTTTGAAAATTGCATACAAAGAAATGGGTTTCATTGTGGAATTTTCATAGACACTTTGCTTTGTTTCCCCCACCTTTCCCCCTCCTCTACTGTTCTCCCTGACCCCTGGTGAGATGACCCTATTGTGATTTCATGTCACATTGCTTCTATTACCTTCTTTTTCTCCCCCCCCCAGCCCTTCTTTATGATCTCTTTCCTCCCCTTCCCATTGTTCCCTTTGAATTTCATGCCCTATACCCAAAAACTCCCTATGTATATACACATATATGAAATTAAAGTCCTCCTAGAAGAGAAAATACATAGTATTTGTCTTTCGGCATCTTGGATACTTCACTTAACATAATGGTTTCCAGTCATATCCATTTCCCTGCAAAGATGATAATTTCATTTTTCTTTATGGCCAAATAAAATCCTCTGTGTATGTGTCCCATGTTTTCTCTGTCCATTCATTTGCTGATGGACATCTAAGCTGGTCTCGTTTCTTAGCTATTGTGAATGGCATAATAAATATGGATGCGCAAGTATCTGTGGTATTGTTGACTTAGGATCCTTCCTTACATGTCCAGGACTTTTTAAACCTTTAAGTTTTGCCAATTTGAGGGGAGATATCTTCTAGAGGTATTTTTCTCAACATTCTCAAACATGCAGAAAAGCTGAAAGGATTGTAACATACCTATCTATCTGTCCTTCTCGCTCTTGAATGTACATTAGGTAAGATGCAGACATAGGAACTCTTCGCCCCAGAGAACTGCAGCATTCACATCAGTACCTGGAATTCACTATCTCTTCCTAGTTTCCTTCTTTTTTTTTAAAAAAATTACACTTTCTGTGTGAGTGTGTATACTCACACACATTCCATGGCACATGTATGGTGAAGGTCAGAGGTGTGGGAGTTTGTTCTCTCCACCATGTGAGTTTGTGACTAATCTCAGATCATCAGGCTGGGCAGCCATCGCTCTGGGCCTCTTTATAAAAGTATACTGTTTTTATAAATTGAGAATTTCATTGATGAAGAGACTGGCAGGTGGGGAACAGACGTTTTGGGTCTCAGAGTGATATCACAGAGGCACTTGGGGCAAGCCCAGGATTCTGTCACCCCTCCCTAAGCTTCAGGCCCTGCAGCTAGCATGGTCTCCACATGGCCACTGAGTGGCTTTCTGAGAGAAAGAAAATGCTGAGCCTTCTGCTCCTGGGTTGCAGAGCAGAGCTGAGTCCTCTGGTTTTTCAAGAGCCGACTAAAGTTCTAGGCAAGTGGCCTCAGGTTAGTATCAGATAGTTTGTACATTGCAGGATCAGACCTCAGCAGACTCACCTTGTGACCCTCTCCTGTCTTGTCTGGCCCTAGATCTTGGAGATTCACCCCAGGGGAATATTATCAGTGTCTCCTGGTCCAGGGGCAAGTGCCAAGAATGTGACCTCAAAGAGGTAGATTCCCCCATGCTACCCTCCAGATGGGGAATACTCATTAACCTTAATTACTAGGAGGGCACAAGTCCCAGCCAGCTCTGTTTCAAAGTAAGGACATGACATCCGGGAAGGAATTCAACTTGGAACTCGGCTGCTGTATCCTGGGAACTGAGCTGTAGGCTTTCACAGTCACCTGCTCAGTTGGCTCTGATGTAACTGCATCCTCTTTTCACAGGGAGTGGCCTAAGCCAGTGTTTCTCCTCCATCCTCTAGCTGCAGGTAGAAGGTTCAGAGTTGGTGACTCAGACCTTGGTGAACAAGTAACATTTAGGCAAGAAGTGGCTTCTGGGTTGACCCTGCAGACGGGTCAAAGCTTGTAGTATCGTGGTTGGGTTGTAGAAGAGCCAAGCAAGAAAGAGTCCTGCCAAATGCCATGGAAAGCTAGGCGGCGAAATAAAGAATGCAAATGCAGAATCCGGGAGCAAAGTCCGAGTCAGAGGTGTAGAAAAACCTAGGGATAAGGTGGTCACAACTGAGGGAGTGGACAGACACGGGGTTTGTTCAAATTTGCATACTATGCCCAGCCAAGTTGGAGATGCTCAGGGGAGACTCTCAGCCAATCCTCTTCACCTTGACTTTTCCTTAGAGGAACCTCCGTTGGACTCATAACAGCACTGGTAACATTTGCTAACATGCCAGTCACCGCAATTTATACCCCACAAAGTGAGGTCTTATTTGCTTGTCTGCTTCTAATCATGTAAGCATGAATTCAAACTCAACGAAAAGTTGTGAAGTCAAAATCTGCTTGGTAGAGGGGCTAGAGAGATGGATCAGGCAGTAAAGTGCCCTGGAAGCACAAGGAAGGGCCTGAGTTTGACCTCCAGAACCCCACTTTAGGAAGAGCCAGATGTGAAGCTTGCTGGCATGCCAGCCTAGTACCTATTTGGTGAGTTCCAGAACAATGAAAGAGAAGAAATAAAAGGCAGACAGATCTTGAGAAATTCGCCTGATGTTGTCCCCTGGTCTTTGCATGCATGAGCACACATGTACATATATGTTCATGTGGGTGCTCTCTCTCTCTTTCTCTCTCAGCTGCAGAGGGGCTAGGAGTCTGTGCAGATACATTAAAATAGCCTCAGCACTTAGAATACATTTCTGGAATTTCATTTCCAATGTGTCAATTGTAAGTGCTGGTCTGTCATGGCCCACATTTGATGAGTGTCTTTGGTTGTGTTTGCTTGCTGCTCTTTAATTATTGCTCTCGTTTTCTGGGAGCCGAGTGGTCACAAGGCAAATCCAGGCTTACTCTAGACAGTGTACGGAGGGTTAGTACTAAGCACTGATTTAAATTAACTTGAGATGACAACACATATTAGTGTCAGAAAGTATTGTGATCGAAACTTGCTCCAACTTCCTTCTCCTCCACTCAGACACTAAGAGCCAGAAGTGGTTTTGTGGGTCTTGTTTGGTTTTTCATCTTTGGGGGTAGGGTCTCACTTGCTACCACAGACTGCCCCACGACCTCTACCCTTTGAGTGCTGGGATTACAGACACGAACCACCATGCCCACCGGTGCATGCACCTTCTCACAAGGCCACTCTTGCTATTAGATTGAGATCCTACGACTTGGACATAATCTTTTTGTATAATTTTTTATTTTTAAAATTATCATACAAGGGGCTAGTTGTCATTATACATTTTCAAACCAAGTGTGTTTCAGTGATTCTCCTCCCCCATCTTCCCACCCCTGCTACCGATGATTCCTCTTGTAGCTCCTCCCCCAGCATCTTTTTTTAAAATCATATTCCATCTGTGTTTCTGACCACTTCTGATCCTCTCATGTCAGCTCTCTAAATCTCAATTACTTCCTAAAAACTCTACCTTCAAAACACTGTCCGCCATGGATCTGGGGATAGAGTTCAATACGGGGCAATGAGCTGGTTGAGGGCACTGCCACCTTAGACCGGGGCTGGGTTCACCTCTTCTGGCCTCCAGATGAGAACTCATGTTCGGCCTCATCCCTCCAGGCACCAAGGGCAGAAAATGAAGGTATTGAGAGAACATGCCACTTGCCACCGGAGGGATGAGCAGCAGGCTGCAGCGACATTGTGAATTCACGCAGGGCAACACGAATCACGGCTGACCATGAGCATTAATCTGTTTGTTCTATAAATAGAAGCAGAACTATTATAGAAGGTGACCTGTCTGAATCACCACCCCAGCTGACAAATTGGTTAAGTGGATGGCATTTTCTCAGGTCAGAGGGAACCAATCACATTGTCTAGTGGGAATGTACTTAGTTTCTTCTTTCTTCTATCAGAACACTTAGCTGGACTGTCAGAGGAAGGGGATGAGTGCATAGTAACAGATGACGGAAACAAGATGACCATTAGGACTGGGCAGAGCATGGGTGGAGGAGCTAGTAGAATGCAGTACTGTGGTCAGGGCTTAACTTCCAATATCAGAAGCTTCCCCAGCAAGAATGCAGCATGTCAAAGCACTGCCTCAGGGAAGAGAAAACAGCTTTCCTGCTAAGAGCACATGTGGTCATTGTACCACACTTTTAACCACCACACCAGTTCTTTTTGTTTTGTTTTGTTTTTTGAGACAGGGTCTCTCTGTGGAACAGCACCTAGCTGTCCTGGAACTCACTCAGTAGCCCAGGCTGGCCTCAAACTCAGAGATCCGCTTGCCTCTGCCTCCTGAGTGCTGGGATTAAAGGCGTGCACCATCACACCAGTTCTACTGTGTGGTTTTGTAATATGATGTTTATGCTGTTGGACTCTTAGAATCCTCCTTGTCATTCCATATACATAACCTCCAGCCTCTGCATGTTTCTTTCCTAACAGCTCACTACCACAACTTCCTAGACTCTTAACATTAGGTTTCTAAGGCATATGCCCCTAAGATACCCCATGTACAGAGCTGAAAGTACCTGAAAGGCACCCTGGGGTGCCCCATAGCTAAAGACAGATGCTGTAAATTTGGGGAATCTAGATTACTAGTCTTGGGTGGAGACAAATTTGGTTTATAATTTAGACATCAGAGCACCTTGGCACCAAGGGGTGAGAATGTCTTTCTCCTGAAACTGCATGTTTACTGGGCAAGCTCAGCTCGCCCTGATCCCATGATGGTTTCTCCTGGAGCACTCTAAGATTAAGCCCCATACATCGGTCATTATCTCAGAACCTGCTTTGATGGTCAGCAGACCCAAAACAGACAGACATTGGTTCTTGTATTTGTCCAATACTGAGATGTCAAACTCCCACTGAAAGCCAGAGGAGGAACACAATGTGTTTGTGATACCAAGTTTAAATCAGACCTAGTCCGTGCCCTCAAACATTTCAGCCGACCACACCAAGTGGCAAAAATTGCAAGAATTATGACATTGACACCAGGAAATCATGCTCCAGAGAGA